GGTTGTAAAACCTTCTGAATGATTTTGTATCATGAGTTTTCTTTAACCATTCAGCTCCATAATTTCATAATAAACAATTTCCAAAGAATTATATTTCATTTTACACCATATCATGAGAGCCTCTTAATCATATTGCACCAGACCATTCAACAACTGACAAATAGCGCCTTAGAAAAGATACACATAATAATAATGCAATATGTTTATAGATAGAGAAAGACAAATGTACTAAATTTTGAGGAATAGGAAATGAGATAGAAACAAGTATATGAAAAACATAAACGAAGTATGTAAACTTTACATCCATGGTCTAACGTAAACATCTGGTAATTTAAACCTTAATAGCTTCCTTCAGTGGCGGATCCATAAACTTTTATAATTGAAGGCACACTTAAGGGTGTAGAAAAAAAAATCAAAACCAAATAATTCATTCTGATGAAAACGGTTTTGGGTTTTCCTTTTCGGCTTAAACGGTTCAGTTAACCGAATAAAGATAACTCATTCAGTTCGTTTTCAGTTGAATCTTTACTAATTCATCGAGGTATATAATTTATATATTTTATATTTCGAACAAAAAATATTAGTTTGTGCTGCAAATGAACCAATTAGCAATCACGATATCAAGTTGGGGGCCTTTGTCTTGTTCTTGTTAGACGCACAATAGGAAAATTTACTAAACAAATTTTTTATAGCCTTTTTAAAAAAAAATTGTGGGTTTGTTTTTGGGGGGGGGGGGGGGGGGGGTAGGACCCCTACCACCATGCACTGGATCTGCCAGTGGCTTCCTTCCTCCCGTCGAGATTCTCACCCATACTTTGTTAACATAGTCTTGTGTCTCCCTTCCCTCCTGTTAGAGGTCATATCATAAAAAATCAGCTATCTGTAAAATCAGTATCTTATCCTATGTCCTGCTCGACCCACCTCTCCTTTTTGCCCATAGAACTTTACACGTTTTACCTTCGTCACTGGAGTCGTCAACTCTCTCTTATGAGCGTTGCTAAACCATGTGATTTTCTCTCCCCCAACTTGTCTGTGGTAGGTGCAACTTCCCACATTTCTCGGAAACATAGTTATACCACGAGTCCATCGAAGCATCCTCACTTCTGCAACGGAAAACTGTAAAAAACTACTGTAACAAAATGAGTTATTAAGGGATACAACTGTCTTTATAAAGTCTCATGAGAATTTGTATATCTATGTAACTAATAACCGTGCATCATATATGAAATTAGAGACCTAAAAAAAATTTCAGTATTATTAAACAAAAGCTGCAAGGAGAAAGTTGTGCAGACTTAATATAACTCAAAGAATAACCATATTGGTTATGAAACATTTCTTTAAAAAACTTTTTATCTGAGTTCATTCATTAATGAATAATATATGTTTGTAACTACGATAAGACAATACAATTGTATAAAAAGTCACAGTGCATATGTATTCACATTTTTATATAGTATCCTTTTAACTTCATGCACAGTTCCAGTCATATATTAACAACAAGACCTAAAATCAAGAGAGTAGTCTTAAATCGCGATCGTTGACTGATAATTAATTCTTAATCTGTAGATTATATTTCTTGTCTTTGAACACAATACACGTGTTTTCAAGCATTTTGTTCTATAATCTTAATCTGTAAAGTTTTCTTAAAATAAAAAAAAAACAAAATTCTAAAACTACATTACATGAATAAGGGGTTGTTTGTTTATCTCTTAATGGTTTTATTAAGAGATAATATCTGAATCGTTAAGAAATGAATTTTGTTTGACAAAAAAAAAAAGTCTGCCCCTTAATGGTTCTAAAACTCTGTGAATGATTTTGTATCATGGGTCTCCCTTAACCATTCAGCGGCATAATTTCATTGTAAATAATTACCAAACAATTATATTTCATTATGCATTATATCATGAGAGTCTTTTAATCATTTTGATCACTTAATTATTTTGCAACAAATCATTCAGCAACTGTCAGAGGTATCTCATAAAATTATTTTTTAAAAGTAAAATAAAAATAATATTACTTTACTAAGTCCCCAATCCCAATGAAGTAGTTGTTTTCAATTCAAGAGGGAAATGACTTTAATTCCCCTCTTTAACTAACCCCACCAAGACACCAACCCTATTAATTACCTTTCCATCCGTTGAAGAACTGTGTGAAAACAGAAGTTATGATTAGATGCGTAAGAAGAAATCTGAATTTTTGATCACTTTTAATTTCATGTTCACTCATAAATTACATTTTTAGAGGGAATTGATCCGATGCACATCATTAGTGTTGACATCTAAGGGTGAAGATCTCTTTTTACATTTCTCACCATAACTTCCATTCTCACCGGAATCCAACCCCTTTACATCCTCTCCCCAAAATAAAACAAACATACATATAAACATTTATGTATGCATAATCATATGTTAACCAAGTATATATTATTAGATTTACAAACTCATCTAACTTGTTCATTTTTATGATCAACAATTATGGTTAAATGAGAGGCTATAAAACAATAAAAAAGAATATATATATATATATATATATATATACTATATTATAAAATATTTGACAAAAACTCTTAAAAACCACTTTTTATTCGTAAAGTACTGTTTATTAATGCATATTACTTAAAACTCAAGATTGCAAGTAGATTGTGCATACGTATAACTTATTAAAGCTACATATCTGAATTCGTGTAACTAACTGCAGATAAACATAATCAAATACAAGATAAACATCTCATTTTAAATATAAAAAATCTAAAATATAATTAGGATAATCATTGAGTTCTAACAGAATACTTAATTATTATCTTTATNGTGATATTATTAAAACAAAAATAAATTATTTCGTTATTAAATTTAAATTAAATTATAATAAAAAAATTAAAGAAATTACATAAAAAATAAGAATTTTTAAATAGTTGATTTGATTTAACATTGATATATATTTTTTTTAAATTTTTTTATAATATCTTCAAATTTATATTTTATTCAAAAATAAAATCATTATTGGTGTCTTAAAAACACATAAAATTGTATTATAACATCGACAGAGACAAATAATAAAATAAAAAATTAAAATCGAGATGTGTCTCGCTGCATTGCACGAGTACTCTTCTAGTGTGTGTATATATATATATATATATATATATATATATAATTAAATTAAATGGAGGGCAATTTTGGAACAAATTGTTTTTATTTTTGGAAGATAATCATGTTTTATATAATATTTATTTAAAGTTCATAGTGTTGTTTCATCTATATCTATAATATATTTACGGTTTTCATTTGATCTGCGTTTAATATAAAATGCGAAAAAAGCCCAAAAAAAAATCAACTGATTTTCTCTTTTATTTTAAACGATTAAATCTTTACACAATTTTTTAACTGGTTTTTTTTTTTAAATTTTGAACGATTAAATCTTTAAATAAATTTTTTCAACAATAAAATCCATGTGATTTTAATGCTTGAACTAACAAGTGATTTTGTTTCAGATGATTTTTGTTGAACCCCTTAGGCCCTTATAGCTATTAAGCCTATTTATAAAATTCGAGGCTATAAGGAAGATTCAATAGTGCATGACCAATAACTAAATGAATATTGAAAAATACAGTGGATATTCTTTTAACAGTATTGTCAAACACAATCTTGACACGTGATCCAGTTACACTATTCTCGAAAAGACTACACTTGGAGAAAATACTGTAGAAGACTTAACACGTAGCAGAACAGACAAAAAAAAGGTTACAGTAAAAAGTAATTTGAACCGATTGATTGAGATGATCTAACAAATGTGATTAAAAAGAAGTACGTTTTTTTAAATATAAGTGTTTTTGCTTAATTTTTAAATCGAAAATCAACGGTATACAAAAAAGAAATTGGAGTAAAACAAATTATACCAAAAAATCGATTACTTTATTGTCTTTAATTTGACATTTATTTTGATATATTTTTTTTTCTTTTTTTTCRTGGTTCTCTGATTCTTCTTTTCAAAGTTCTCTCTGTATCTTTTCCATATATATAGACTTACGTGAGACCAGTTTGTTTTTGTGAGACCTATGAGACYATTTTTTTACATTTGAAACTTTACAACAAAAGACTGTGAAGGTAACATTCACAGTGTTTTTGCTATGAAGGTTCGGATTTGACCAACTTGTTTTCGTGAGACCTGTAAGACCATTTTTTTACAGTTGAAACTTCACAGCAAAAACACTGTGAAAGTTACCTTCATAGTGTTTTGCTATGAAGTTTCATGTGCAAAAATGTTGTCTCACGTGTTTCACGAAAACAACCTTGTCTCACATGATCCCAAGTCTCTCTCTCTATATACACACACACACACACACACACACACACTTGGGATCATGGGACCATATTTTTTTTTCCTGAGACCACCTTGAACCTTCACATCAAAACACTGTGAAGGTAAACCCTTTAAAGTGATTTTATTGTGAAAGTTCGAAGTATTTTTTACATTCACAATGTTTTGCTTTGAAATTTTAGTGTTATTTTGGTATCACCGATCTCATGTAAACCTAACCCCATATATATGTATGTATATATATATATATATGTATGTATATATATGCATATATATATATATATGTGTGTGTGTGTGTGTGTGTGTACATACATATATATAAAGAGAGAGGTAAGTTATTATGCAACCTTTTATATTTGTATAACGAATACAACTCAGTCTCAACCGTCCATTTAATTTGATGTATATGTGATTTTATAAAAAGTTTAAATTGTTTTCTAATATAAAGTATTGATCATAATTAATGAAACTCAGTAATCTTTCATAAATATTCAAATCATAATAAATGAAATAAATATCTCAATTGATTGGATTACATTGATTATACAAATGTGATAGATTATATATATATATATATATATATATAAAAGATGGGCATGCATTCACATACTTGGTAGCTTGACTTCGTCTATAAGTATGTGCCATATCTTATCTAGTTGCAAAAAAAGAGTTAGTACCATAAAAAAATGTGGTCAAGAGGTACAAAGGATTTTGGACAAGAGAGAATATGTTTCTCTAATGTGCTCGTCATACGAAAACGAAACCTTTTCTGGGGACGTAAATGGAGGTCTCTCGACATCAAACTCGTTTTGGGGATGTTGGGTTTCCATATTCTGACACTTTTTGCACCATTTACGTTCACATGGAATGTTTTCTGGTTAACAGTTTTGAGTTATTTTCTTACGGGGGCATTGGGTATAACCCTGGGCTATCACAGGCTTCTAGCGCACCGTAGTTTCAAACTACCCAAATGGCTCGAATACACGTGTGTTTATCTCGGGGTTCATGCCTCCCAGGTTCGGTTTTACGTACCCTTTTATTCGTGCTCGTTTTTTTGTTTTACCAAAATGCTTTTGATACCGTTTCATAGAAAATCTGAATGTTAACGATGCAAGATATGATTTGATTATATATTTCTTATCATTTGTTGAAATATTCATTAATATATCTTTTTGTAGCGGGATCCAATATATTGGGTGAGTATACATAGGTACCACCATCAATATGTCGATCTAGACAAAGACCCACACACTCCCATTTACGGATTTTGGTTCAGCCACATGGGCTGGATCTTCGATAGTGGCTACATTAAGGAGAAGGTGCATGTCATTATACCTTGAAATATGTGTATGTATATGTACGTAATGTATTATTAACTGTATAATATCGTTTGGTTTTCAGTATCAAGAACGTAAAAATGTAGAAGATTTGAAAAGTCAGGCGTTTTATAGGTTCATCAAAAGAACTTACGTATGGCATTTATTCGGATTATGGGCCCTCGTTTATGCTTGGGGTGGCTTTCCGTACTTCGTGTGGATTGTAGTAAGTCTTCCTAAATGCACTCGTTTTTAGAATTCTATAAAAGCATAAGGGTATCATTCGAGTATCTACACGCAGGGTGTTAGGAATACGTGTCTTCTCAACGCGACGTTTCTAGTAAACTCAGCTTGCCATATATGGGGAAAGCGAGCTTGGAGCACTGACGACTTATCTAAAAATAACTGGTATATTATATATATATATATATGTGTGTGTGTGTGTGTGTGTGTGTTTCTATATTTTTTTTTGTTTAATTGGGAAATGCTGAATGATAGGTGGGTGGCTTTAATTACGTTTGGAGAAGGGTGGCATAACAATCATCATGCTTTTGAATATTCCGCTCGACATGGGCTGGAATGGTGGCAGATCGATCTGAGTTGGTACGTGATCCGGTTTCTTGAATCAATAGGATTGGCAACGAACGTGAAATTGCCGTCTCATGCTCACAAACTTAAAAAATCGTTAGCAATTTCAGATGATCTTTTAATGAAACAGACGAGTAATTCTATCAATTATTAGTAACAAACAAGTTTAAATGCTTTCATGAGATCTTCATAGTTATGCAACCACATAATTATATATGTATCAATTTAATATATTAATTGTTATTTAATGTCATTTTTTAATATTATATTATATTTTTAGTAACATAAATCTCTTATTTATTATTGATTTGAGTCATCATGATAAATAAACATTAAAATAAACAAAAGTAATCAAAGGACATTTGGTCTAACGGTATCTGAATTTTTTTGATCTCCATGTGATCATGGATCCGAACCACCAAAAGTGAGAAAGACGTGTCAGTTCATTTGTCATATGTGTGTATGTATGTATGTATGTATGTATGTATGTATGTATGTATGTATATATATCGGGTTATTGAAGGGAGAACTCAGTAATTTATGATAACCGTGAGATCTAATCTCAACCACAAATTAAAGGTTAAATTAAGAAATTAAGATTTATGGTAATTTTAACTTAAAATATTAATTAAAGGTATTTTTGATTTTAAAAATCACATCTCTCATCTTTCCGACGAACTTAATTCTGACAAATCTTATTCCGACGAATCTTATGTGAATACAATATACACACTATGATACCTAAAAAAATATTGTTAAAAAATATATATGCAAACGATATTCACTGTGATACTCGTATATACATACAAGATGCACTTTATGATATTTTTGTAAAGCAACTAAAAGAACAAAAATACACATTATGATGCCCTTTCTAAAGCAATGAAAATAATGAAAAATGCATATTATAGTACACTTTATAAAACAACTAAATTATTCATTGTGATACACTTTGATTGGCGAACATATTTAAAAGACAACACATTTTAGGTAATTAATATATTAGGTAATTAAAATTAATCATATATTTCCTTTAAAAAATTAATTAAATTTTTTAATGAGTTGTTATAAATAAAATTACTAAATTACCCTTTTAACTTCTTTAAGAAATATCTTTAAATATATCAAATGAGTGGTTCATATCGGATCTCACGGTTATCACAAATTACACACACACACACACACACATATGAGCATAATCAAATGAGAACTAAATAGTTTATGGTAACTATAAGGTCTAATATGAGACAATCATTTAAATAATTAATGTTATATTCTAAAATAAAATAAAGAGTAAATTGGTAATGTTTACAACTCATAAAACCCTATATTGATTTACCGACAATGGTGGTATAAACCGTGTCCTGTTTCCAAACAATAGAGGGTCCCCCATTTTCTCTCATCGTGGATCTCCATCTGTGTCCTCCTTCCAATTTATCTAGTCATCCCCTTCCACTTCTTCTTCGGCCCGTCATAGCCAACATCTACCTCCTCCCTTATCCTTTCTCACTTTTGAAGCATCCCCGTCGTACAGTGAGCCCCCGTCGCTGCACCATCGCATCTTTGGCCTCTAAGCATCTCCCACTCATAACCACCGTTGTTCTTGTAGATCTTCACCATGGATCTTCTTTGAGCACTGTTGGTATCATAGTTGGTATCACATTGTGTATCTATGTGATTGCTTAACATAATGTTCGTTGGAGGTCAGAGATCCGAGAGAGGAGTTTTTAATAATACCTATGATGCCCTCTTATTATAATTTTAACTCAAATTAACAAAACTACTAATATCCTAATTTATCCGTTGATATGCGGTTAAAGATTAGACCTCACAGTTACCGCAAATTAATCAGTTCTCCCTTGAATGACCTCTATATATTATAGAAATAACAAAAGAGAAAATGAAAACAAAAGTATATATTGAAATCATGTATTAAATAATTATATTCCTAGTATATATTTTGAATAAATTCAACTTGATTTTAAATGCCAATCATGTACATTAGCACAGTGGTAGATCTAGAATTTTTGCTGAATGTGTGCATCTTTAAGGTGGAATAGAGGCCTGTAAAGTCGTCCATTGGAATTTTAACCGAATTCCATCGTCTCGAGGGATTTTTTTAAGTTTTTCGATCGATTTTGATGGACTTTTCAACTTTTTTGGTTGATTTTGAGTTTTTTTTTTTTTTTTTCTGGTTCTTTGGTTGATTTCAAGGGACTTTTTTGGCTGATCAGTTTATGTTTCTTGTATTTTCTAATATCTTGGAGCACCCTCAAATTTTAGCGGGTGCACCTCCAAAAAAATTCTACTAGCGAAAATCGATTGAACATGTGCATGGAACCTTGCTCACGCCATCATAGATCCAGCCTCGATCATGCATGAATTGTGTGCTAAGTAAATAATACGATAACGAGATAATGATATGCGGTAAGGATGTATATGACACGAGGCCTCAAGTTTGACAGTCAGTAGCTGTCATTAGTCCTTTTGAAGGTTTCGGTCATTAACTTGAAACATAGAATTTTTCTAATCAGTAGAAAGAAAACCGTTCATAAAAATCTCGTAGATAAGTTAAATATGTCCGAAACCATGGTTATAAAAACCCAAAAAAAAGAAAAGAAAACGGAATTACAATACGCAATGAAGATCGAACCACAGATCCTTAAAGATGCTAACCCACGAATACCGGCCCAAATTCACTTTGGGCTTATACTCATGATAGCTCAAAACAAACCCGAAACCGGTGAACGACAAAACCAACAATTTTAGGAAAGTGTGTTGTACGTTTATGAAAAATCATACAAATCAATTTCAATCATATATCTAGTATATAAATATCTCGATTATTTTGTTGATCTAAAATGTTAATAATAATAAATGAATTCTGATCATCTTTCGTTAATATTCATATCTTAATAAATAAACTCTCATCATTTCTATAAATATCTCATTTGATTGGTTTTGTACTGGTTAAAGGGTTTGTATATGAAGCTCCCTCCATATAGATAATAACACATACATACATACATACATGCATGGATATATACATACATACATGCATGCATAGGGAGAGATAAGGAAAGAGAAAGTCCATTTCTAATAATCATTACACATCTATGAGAAGTCAATTTATGAAAAACCTTTGGTTTCACATGATCCCAAATCTATATAATAATCATTACACATCTATGA